TCGTGTTGTTCGCTGGATACTTCCCGGAGGCTTTGTTGAAAAGCCTGGAGATGGACCTCACCCCCGGCTCGCATGCCCCGTCCCCGTACGTGGAGTGCTCTCGGAACCGCGCCAGCGCCAGATCCGCAGCCCCTCCCAGCGCGTGCCCGAGTCCACTCTCGCTCAGCCGCGGACCCTTCCCGAGAGGAACTCCCTATGGAACACTGTCCTGAGCAGGGCCGGAAAGGGGTCTGGAGCTTCCTAGGCGCCTCTCCAGATTCCAGCCTCATCTGAGCCGCAGCGATCCCGCGAGATTGGGGAAATCGAGGCCGGGGAAGGCTAGAGTGCCCCAAAGGCAGGCAGCCTCAAAGAGACAGAGGTGGCCTGAACCCAGGGTTTACAGCGTTCATATCAGGGTGGGCGAGATCAGAAACGCCTGCCTTTCTGACCTCCCCGAATCGGGTCGAGCCCAGGGGTCCAGCCCGCTGAGAAATTCGGCCTCTGACCCGATGGATGCCCTGTTGAGGAGGACAGAGGGCTGGTGATTCCCCTTGTCCTCCTCACCTGGTGAAGGCCAGTTTCCCCGATCCCCACTGCCCTCCCTGTCCTCCTCCCACCCCAGCTGAGCTTCCCACAATTTCTTGGCCAAAGCCTCACTGCTAACGAGGGAGTGCAAACCTCATCCTCCCTGCACAAGAGAGGTTCTCCAGCTTAAGTGAGCACCCTGTCACCTGGAGGGCTTGTTAAAACCAGATTGCTCGGCCCCACCCCCCCCCACCCCCCGGAGCTCCGGATGCAGTAGGTCTGGGAGTCCCGAGAATTTGCATTTCTACCGTGTCCCAGTGTCCCAGGTGCTGCAAGTCCCTGAGTACATTTGAGAGGGGCCGCTCTGGGTGCTGCACCGACCCTAAGTTCCCCTGTCTGCGCGTCTGAATACAGTGCGTACGCCCAGACTAAAAGCCCTGTCAAGGCGAGGAGCCAGCCTTGTCTGTATATCCATCCCAGCTCCTACCACACGGCTTGCACACAATAAACTCCTCATAAATATTTGGGCTTAATCATGATTGTTCAAGATGTCAGCGTTTACAGATGTTTCAGGAGTGCCTGGCACTTTTCTGGCTGCATTAGGAGTAACAGTGCGTTGAAGACTAGCAACGACCTGAGAAGTTAAAACAACATCTCAGTTTCACTGGGGCCTCAGGTGGGAATGCCAAGCACCGACATCAAGAGAGAGGGGAAGCGGGGAAAGTTCCACGCGGAAGCCACGTCCGCCAAGGCTCAGCAACCACAGGCTCCCTCTCCACTGACCTGGCGCAGGCTGTCTTAAAGAAACAGTAGGAATGGCTGGGCTCTGCAGGCAGGTAGTGTAGAAAAGGGAAACCGCCTAGCCTGCAAGGTGGTGCACCTTGCAGGCCTTGGCCAGCCCATTGGCATTGGGGCGCCTGAGGCTGGGAGAGATTCAGTTCCCCCAGTGTCATGCTGTCTTTGCCAGAGTACCCCCAAACCTTTCTGAAGGCACCAGAACTTCGCACGTGTTTAACTCTGAAGGATTTAAAAAAATTTTTTTAATAAAAAAATAAAAGGATTACCTAAATTTGTTTTGAAAGAGCTGTGGTTGCTGCTGACAAGTAGACTCATACTATGACTCATATGTATGTGATCAATTGCTTATGTCTGTTGCTAGGTAAAAACTTTACTTTTTAATAGAGTTTAGTGGTGCATAGCCAGTTCCAGGAACTGTATCAGAATGTAGCTGTTGAGGTTTAGTCCAGTTCAAAAGTTCAGTTTCACTTGGAGGGAGTGAGTTAGCTAGGTTTTCTAGAGATCTCCCAGCTCCATTTTAGATTGTTCTCTGGACAACATCAACGCCATTTGCTGTTTTTTGTTTATTGATTTGTTTTGTTTTGTCTTCTTTTCAGTCTACATTGAAAATCTGTTGCTTAGGGTAGCCACCTTCATTGATTACCTTAACTAGAATTCTGGATAACTTGCTGCAGCTTCTACATCAGTCTGCTTCACCTGGCACTTTCATGCTATGAAGGTGGCGTCTTTCCTTATACCGGACGAACCGACCTCTGCTAGCTTCAGACTTTTCTTCTGCAGTTTCTTCCCCTCTCTCAGCCTTTGTAGAATTGAAGAGCATTAGGTCCTTGCTCTGGATTTGGCTTTGGCTTAAGGGAATGTTATAGCTGATCTTCTATCCAGACCACTAAAACTTTCTCCACATCAGCAATAAGGCTGTTTCTTATCATTCATGTGTTCTCTGAGTAACACTTTTAATTTCCTTCAAGAACTTTTCTTTTGCAATCATAACTTGGCTAATTGTTTGGTATAAGAGGCCTAGTTTTGGCCTACCTTGGCTTTTGACATGTCTTCCTCACTAAGCTTAGTCATTTTTAGCTGTTGATTTAAAGTGGGAGATAGGCAAGTCTTACACCTGAACACTAGAGGCCATTGTAGGGTTATTAATTGGCCTAATTTCAGTGATGTGTCTCAGGGAATAGGGAGGCCTGAGGAGAGGGAGAGAGATGGGGGAATGACCAGTCAGGTGTAGTAGTCAGAACACATACTACATTTATTGATTAAGTTCACATCTTTATCTGGGTACAATTTGTGGCACTACAAAACAACTACAATAGTAACATCAAAGATCACTGAATACAATAATATTGTAAGTTTGCGTGATAACCGATGATTACTTAGTGTGGTGATCACATTTTAAGGTTTATAAATGTTGAATCACTATATTATACACCTGAAACTAATATAATATTGTAAACCAACTACACTTCCATTTTTTTAAGTTATGATTACAGATCACCATAACAAATAATAATGAAAAAGTTCAAAATATTGTGTGAATTACCGACACATAGACATGCAGTGAGCAAATGCTGTTGGAAAATGGTGCCAATAGGCTTGCTAGATTGAGGGTTGGCAGAAACCTTCAATTTGTAAAAAAAAAAAAAAAAGCATAAGACCTAAGCCTGGGCTAGAAGGAGGTAAGGGGGTTGGCAGCATGAACTGGAAGAGAAAGGCCAAGTGAAGCAGGTTGCGCAACAGCAGGGATTTGGCCAACAGGAGCCCTTAGTGCTACTCAATGAAAGCAGTTCAGTGAAAAGGGTGTATTCAAAGGTTACTCTTTGCATGTTTGCTGGGAAGAGAAGAGAGTGGGTTATATGTCTCAAAAGACATAGCTGCCCTTTAAAAAAAAAAAAAAAACAGGTAAGCTGGCCCTATCAAGTTTGGTTCAATGGTTACAACGTTGGCCCAAGGACTGAAGGTCAAAGGTTTGGTTCCTGGTCAAGGGAATGTCCTTGGGTTGCAGGTTCCAGTTGGGGTTGTACAGGAGGCAACCAATCAATGTGACTCTCTCACATCGAGGTTTCTCTCTCTGTCTCCCTCTCTTTCTTCTACTTTATCTAAAAATTAATGGAAAATAAAAAAAGTAGACTGCATTCCTGATTATTATCAGGCTGAACAATTTTTCCATATGCTTATTGACCATCTCTATTTCCTGTTTAAAAAAAAATACATATAAGTTAAACCGTTGACTGTAATATGTATTGCAAATATTTCCCTTTGTTGGTCTGCAAGTGCCCTGCCTGACTGGGAATCGAACCAGGACCTCTCAGTGCATGGGACATCACTCAATCCACTGAGCCACACCAGCCAGGCTAAAATTGTCATTTTCAATGGTTTACCTAAGGTAAATAATCACAAATGTCCACAAAAAATTTAGGTACAAATCAGATCATTATAGTATTATTTTCATTAAAATAATTTTTGTTGTTAATCCTCACCTGAGGATATATTTACATTGATTTTTAGATAGAGTGGAAACAAGGGAGAGAGAAGCATCGATGTGAGAGAGATACATGGCCCTGACCAGGAATTGAACCCATGACCCTTTGGTCCACAGGCTACCACTGTAACTGCTGAGCCAAACCTCCCAGGGTCATTTTAGTATTATTTATAATAGTGAAAAATCTCTAGCAACCTAAAAATCCAGCAAAAAAAAAGTTAGTTAAATTATTACATGTGAGAGAACACTATGTTTGCTCTAAAATGATTGCATAGAAGAATATTTAACAGTCTGGATATGATACGTTGCTAAGTGCTCATTGAAAACAGCAAGTTGTGAAAGGGTGTGTTTTTTGTTTCAAAACAAAGCAAGAACCACATGCAGGGGGAAACTTTTAAACTTTCAATAGTTTCTGGACAGTGGGATTATGGGTAATTTTTATTATCTTTTACTAATTTGATTGTTACATTTCCTAGAATGAACTATGGGAATAAATAAAGAAAAGGTTAACACAAGTTATTTTTTAAATTGAGATAATGGAACAGAGTGCATTTCCTAAAAACTGAGTAAAGTAAACGTTCTCATAAATGCCTCAAGGAATTTGTCTATTCATGTCACTAATGTTTCTTTAACATTTAGATATATTGGCTAGTCAATCAAATGTTATTAGTAAAAGTGAAACAATTTTAAACCTGTTTATAATTTTGCCTTATAAATATGATCTATGCTTTAGTCAGTCCAGGCTGCTGTAGCAAAATACCATGAACTGGGTGGCTATAAACAAAATTTATTTCACAGTTCTGGAGGCGGAAAGTCTAAGGTCATGGTGCTGGTAGATTTGGTGATTGGTGAAGGCCCAATTCCATCTTTTTGCTATATCCACACATAGCATAAAGGGTAAAGGAGCTCTCTAGGGTCTCTTTTATAATGGCACAAATTTTGTTTACGAGGGCTCCACTCTCATGACCTAAACACCTCCCAAAGGTTCCACCTCCTAATACCATCACATTGAGGATCAGGTTTCAACATACGCATTTTGGGGGGGAAACACAAACATTTAGTCTATAGCAGTCTATATTAGAATGGCAATGGTGATTTCTCTGTTTTTGAATGTACTAGCTTACGGGCTGCCTCCAGGTTTCCTGAGAACTGTTTGTTGAAATTAGCCACACTTTGGCTGCTTTTAAATTAACGAGTTATTTTCTTATACCTAGAGTTGTTCATTCAGGATGCTGCTGCTTCAGAAAACAGGAGACAGTGGGATGCTGGAGCTCCTCAGACTCTGCTGCAGATGATGGCAGCGGTTGATGTCATCTCCACCTGCTCCACCAGGCCTGAGGGTGAGTTTATTTATTTATTTTTAAAATATGTTTTTATTGACTTTTTAGAGAGGAGAGAGGAAGGGAGAGAGAGATAGAAACATCAATGTGAGAAAGAACATTGATAGGCTGCCTCCTGCACGCCCCCTACTGGATTGAGCCTGAAACCTGGGCATATGCCCTGACCAGGCATTGAACCAGGACCTCTCAGTCCATGGGAGGACACTCAATCCACTGAGCCACGATGGCTGGGCCGGAGGGCGAATTTAGACCAGTCATCATAAATCGCCAGCAAGAGGACACCAAAGCCCCAGATGCAGCTAGTGCTCACCATGACCTGATAGTTCTCACTTTTCAGTACAATCCCTGTAGATTTGCCATCAAGTACCTTCCAAAGATACTGTATAGGTTCCTCCCCTACCTCTAGAGAAACTTGCCTGTTTATTATCCTAGACAATTGACTACCATTGCTATGAGAATGTAAAGGATCCAATATTCCTCCTTCCTCACAGTGAGAGAGAATATACAAGAAAGAGCAGTTGACTTGATTTGCCTTCAAATGCTAGCCCAATAACTTTGTTACAATTTTTTGAAGGGTCAGTTTTTTAAATCAATAAAATTGGAATTAAAATAATAGCTATCCCACAAGATGTAGAGAAGTAGTAGTGCAAAGATAACATTTAAAATTGCTTTGTAAAACAATGTGTTACTTAGTTATTTATTATTTTTTTGTTAATTCCCACCTGAGGATATTTTTTTCATTGATTTTTAGATAGAGTGGAAGGGATGGAGGGAGAGAGAGAGAGAGAAACATCTATGTGAAAGAGACACATGAATTGGCTGCCTCTGGCATGACACTGACGAGGGGCTGGGAGACCAACCTGCAACCCAGGTATGTGCTCTTGACTGGGAATTGAATCCTTGACCCTTTAGTCCTTGGTCTGATGCTTTAACTGCTGAACCAAACTGGCCAGGGCTCAGTATGTTATTTAAATGTTAGGAATGTTTAGTATGTGATAAAACTTTCTATCTAAATTCCTTCATTTACATTTGAGTTCTGGCATAGTCTTTCCTTAGGAGAGGCTTACAGCAACATCCAGGTGTTACCTTTATAGATGAGATAGTGAAGATTTTTATTACTTATTTCCTGTGTTCCTCTTGATAACATGGGGCTGGGGAGAGCTAAAATTTATAACCATGTTATAAGTTGAAGTATGTAAGTATATCACTGAAATTAGTAATTATAAGTGTATGAACTGACATATTTATACTATTACAAAATGCTGAACTCATCAAACTTGCAAAAAAAGGCTTGCAAATGTAGTACAATTTAATCAATTCTAAGTCAATAAAAGGGGAAACCTAATTTCAAATAAGCAAATAGAATAGAAATTTTAACACACCAAAATAGACAGTTAACAGAGCAAAAAGTGACTCTCCTACCTATCATCTATATGAAAATAGGTTACTAAACTTTTCTTACTATTAATGAGTGCTGGGATGAGTTCACCTCCAAGGTTCTAACATTCTGTGATTTTATAAAAACTCAAATGAAGAGGCATTTTTAGTAACATAGTCTCCTCTTCAGATGACCAAGCGAGGGTGATCAATGGCATTCCAGAAAATAGGAAACAGCGGCAGCATGAAGCTCCAGCAACTATAATAAGTGTTTGGGCAACAGCACATCTAACATGTAGCTCATTTTTTGCCAAAGAAGGGGAATTTGGTATGTAGTTTACTTTTAAGAACATAACCAGTCCCCTGGGGAATTCTGTCAAAGACTCGTAGATGCAGAAAGGGGATAAAAATACCTTTGGCCTAGAGAAAGAATTGGGAGGGTGTCTAAGCCTTTTCAGAAGCTAATTTGCTTTGTACAAGCATGTTCCAGATGCCATTAACAAAAGACTTGAACTTTGGGGAAGAGTGGGGTGATTTTAATGTGATTGTTAGGATTTGGCCAGTGATGCAGGCCATGAAAGAATTCCCAAGAAGAAGTGCAGGGAGGACATTTACTTTCCAAGGGAGGAAAGGGCCAAGTCTTGATAAGACAATATAGGACGGTGAAGACAGAGTGGCTTGGCCCAGCTGGTGTGGCTCAGTGGTTGAGCATTGACCCATGCACCAAGAGGTTGCTGGTTCGATTCCAGTCAAGGTATATGCCCAGGTTGTGGGCCCAATCCCCAGTGGGGGCATGCAGGAGGCAGCCAATTGATGTTCTCTCTCATCAATGTTTCTGTCTCTCTCTCCCTCTCTCTTCTTATCTCTCTAAAATCAATAAAGAAAAAAAAAGTGGCTTACACTTTTAAAGTGGCTTGCTAAGTGACAAGGAAGGGAGGGGGTTGTGTTAAGTTAGCTGTAACCAGATGCCAGGAGTTACCTTGAAAAGTTAGTTTGTTTTCCAGGAGGTGGTAAGGCAGATGTATTGAAGACATATCTTATCTGCAATTTCCCAAGCCTGTAAAACAAGCTTAGAACAAAAGTTATGAAGAGTTCAAAGGAGAGGCCTGTATGAAGGGGAGGGGGAGAGATGGGGGATAGAGGAGGAGGGATCCTCTCACTAACCAGAGACAACTTGAGTGCAAATCATCCTGAAGCTGTTAAAACAGCAGGGAGGAGCAGGGAGCAAGAGTGCAGCCTTATCTTGTCCTGCTCTGAGCAGAGGAGCTGTTTCTATCAGAGGAGCCAGCTGTCTCGGGGTTTAATTACAGGTGCTTCTCATAACCTGTGGAAAGGCCACAAGGAAGAAAGAGAGGCCTGTTTTCTGTCCTTTCAGTGATCAATTGACAATTGATGAAAAGTTGATTAAGGAGGACTAGCAGCTTTGTAGATGATGAGCGAGTATTGCTTAGCTTTGCCTGACAGAGTCAGTTTCTTTTCAGCAGACTCAATTATGATCCTATGGGCAACAAAAATATATCTTAATATGTATAGTGTTTTGGCTCTTGGGTTTTTGCCCCCCATTTTTAGCAAGTGTATTCTTGTGTTTAATTTAAGGAAATCAATCATCGTTTTCTAAATCTTGAGGGAATTCCTATCACTGGGAATTTGTCCTCTATCGGGTATGCAGGTGTGAACTGTTACAAGAGAAGCCATTGCAGGCAGGCAGGTAGCAAACAAGGGGCCATTTTCTCTGGTGTGAAGTCTGGGGCCTGGTGTTGCAGAAATGCAAGCTTCAGGTAGCAAGGAGACACAGAAACAAACCAGATAGTAAGGGAGGCTAGTAAATGCTTATGAAGTTAAAGAACAACACAGAAATGTATACAACACTAAACATAATGCAAGAGTTACCTGATTATTAATGAAGAGTGGATCTACCAGCTTGCGAAGCCCAAATCTTTGTGAAATCTACATAAAAACTGAGATCTTAAACAATGTACAAGATTTGACAGACAAGAAGAAAGGACACTGCAGGTGGGGAGCCTTGCGGAGATACAGGCCTGTGTTGGAGACTGAGGAAACCTGTCTGACCAAAATCTGGGGCTCACTGTTATGGCTTATCCCAGCTGACAGACATACTACTGTTTGAAACTGCAGAGGAAAGAGCAGTGCCTCCAAAGTCCAAGCTGCCTGTTCATTGTCTGCTTATGTACTCCCTTCCCTTATGTCCTGGGATCAAAGTGTTGTCTCTAAGGATAGGGCTGGAGGGGGCCAGAGGAAGCATTGAACAGGCCTGGCTGGGTCTGGAAACCAAAGACTAGGGCTCCAGGCCAGTGGGAGGATGCTTCCCATTTTCCGTGGCACTGAGATGGAGACATACTTGGTGGCTATGGTGTCTTCTTATGTTCTCCCCTCTCATTCTTGGAGAGAGTCGCAGAACACTCTTCTTTTGATCTATTATGCCAAATTAGTTAATGCACGAACTTGTATTTTCCCATGGAAAGTTTTACATTAGGCATACACAGGCAATTTATCTAACAAGTGGGATTAGAAAGAGGCGGCAGTTAGAGCAAAGTGCAGATGTTTTCTTTGGTAACCTGCTGACTTCCCCTCCCACTCCAGCTCTGCTTTGCTCTTTCAGCCTCTAACTCTAATGGCCTCATCTCATCTTTCCTATCCGTGCAGCAATTTTGACTTCCTGTCCCTTGTCATCTTTTCTTCCTTCAGCTCACCCTCTGCACCCTTGCCATATAACCCTCCTAAATGGATCATGTCTTAGCTTAAAATCCTGCAAAATATACCCCCCTTACCCTCAGGATAAATTCCAGGCTCTGCAGACTCTGAGCGCCTTAAAGAGCAGAAGGCCCCTCCCAATGCCAAAGCTACCAGCTCTTCTCTATTAGCAAATATTCCTCCCTCCGTTTAGAATGAATGCCTTCCTCCCTTTGCCAGAATAATCTCTCCTGCAATATTGCACTCTGGTGCAACCTCGTGCCCATTTCTGTCATTATGTTTTATTTTAAATGTAAAGAAATTAAATTTATGTGTCATTATGTTTTATTGGCAAGTTACCCTTCCCTTCCTACTTTTCACTATACCGCCAGATAGGACTGTGAAAGGGGTCTGGAATACAGTAGATTCTTATTTATTTATTTTTTTTGGTATGTGTCCCTAGTGGGAACCAAACCCAGGACTCTTTGGTCCGAAGGCTGACACTCCAACCGCTGAGCCAAACCGGCCAGGGCAATTATTAATTATTTTTGAATGTGAATGAGTGAAAGAGCCTGCAACTTGATTAATATGCTTCTCTTTAATCCAAAAAAATTTTAATAAGTCCTTAAGTTTATCAACTGTCTTCTCTGTTAGCTGCCTCTGACGATTTCACGTTCATTCAGTCTCACACTTCAGTTCATCACACTCAGACATTTGTTAAATGCATGAAATACGGACACTTATTCAACTGCAGGTCATAAACAGATGCAGTAGTGATTTTATTGTGAACGTTCTGTCATTGCTATAACCTGGATCTCAATGAAACTGCCTGTGTACTGCTGCCCTAGGGGTGAGAGAGCACCGGGCATGTGTTCCTTGCAGCCCTTGCAATCCTCTAGGCTTGGTTCCCCTGCTTGATATTCCACAGGACACTAATTCTCTAGTTATAACAAGAAAGGTCACTTTAATTTTTTGTTTAACATCTTTCTTCCTCACTAGACTTGTGAGAGCTTCGTCCTGCGCACCACCCCACTTCGCCTCTCTGCCCCCAGTGTCTGCTCTTTAGTGCCTAGAACTCACTAGGTGGCCATAGTGAATGGGCTCACAGCCACAGAACACTTTTGTAATATATAAAAGTTTTATATGTTTTTTATATGTTTTATAGAGATAGAGAGAGTGGGAGGGGGAGAGAGAGAGAGAGAGAGAGAGAGAAACATCAATTGGTTGTCTCCTGCACCACTCCACTGGGGCCAGGGACTGAATCTGCAACCCAGGTATATGCCCTTGACCAGAAATCTAACCCGAGACCTTTAGGTTTATGGGTTGATACTCAAACCACTGAGTGAACTGGCCAAGGCACCATAGAACACTTTTAGTGTATTACTTGATGCAAAGGCATGTGATTGCCAATATTTGTATTGCTATCAAGTTGGATAGGGGAATTACATTAAAAATAATTCTTACAGCCCTGGCTAGTTTGGATCAGCAGTTAGAGTGTCGGCCCACAGAACAAAGAGTTGTGGGTTCAATTCCAGCCAAGGGCACGTACCTCGGTTACAGTTCATACCCAGCCCTGGTCAGGGTTGTGCGGGAAGCACCCAGTCGATGTCTCTCTCTCACATTGATGTTTCTTTCTCTCTCTCTCCCTCCTTCCCATTCTATCTGAAGAAAAATTGAAAAAATAGCTTTAGCTGAGGATCTAAAAAAACAAAATAAAAATATGCCTTTTCACCCTGGCCATGTGGCTCCAAAAGAAAGGTTGTGGGTTCAATCCCTAGTCAGGGCGTGGACAGGAGGCAGCTGATTGATGTTTTTCTCTTACATCAGTGTTTCTTTCTTGCTCTCTCTCCCCCTTCCTCTTTCTCTAAAGATAATAAACATATCTGTGGGTGAGGATTAAAAAAAATATTTGAGGCTTTTTCAAGTACATGTTAATTGGTCCTAATTTTAGAAGTTTAAATAGCAAGACTTTCTAAAATCCTTTGGAATAAATCTCACAAGCAAAAGCTATACTACTTAAATAAGGACAAGTATGTTTTTTACATGTGTGTAATTAATTCAGGTAGGTAACTTTGTTTATAGTTTAACTACTCTAAGGAATCTTTGGTGGGAAGGTAACCTCCATTTTTCTTGTACAAGTTCTCAGGCCACATAGTTGCCTTGGTAACATCAAAGTTGCAAGTCCTAATAATAGCTGATTTACATTTCTATAGTTAGCCATTCATTCTTTCTTCAATTCTGTTTAACAAGAACAAGAGTCTCCTAAAATTATCTTCCTGAAAAAGGAAAACAAGACCATCAGCTTCCCAGACCAAGTGGAATGAATACTTATGCTGCTTCTAATTAGTCAGACTACCTCGTAGATGAGATGTATCAATCTACCTCATCAATTTGATGTGCTTTAGGAAATAATATGGGCTATGGTTTCGGATGAAACTTATGTTGATTAAAAATAGATGCCCCAGCCCTGGCCTGTTTGGCTCAGTGGTTAGAGCGTCAGCCTGCAGACCAGAGAGTCCCAAGTTTGGTTCCTGTTGAGGGCATGTACATCGGTTGCAGTTTGTGCCTGGCCCCAGTTGGGGTCGTGCGGGTGGCAACCAGTCAATGTGTCTCTCACATCGATGTTTCTCTCTCTCTTCCTCCCTCCCTCCCTCCCGCTCTCTCTGAAGATGAAGATAAATGCAAAACTGTCCTTGGGTGAGGATAAAAAAAAAAAAATTAAAAAATAGATGCCCCAGCCCTGGCCTGTTTGGCTCAGTGGTTAGAGTGCCGGCCCACAGACCAAAGAGTCGTGGGTTCAGTTCTGGACAAGGGCACGTACCTTGGTTGCAGTTCGTCCCCAGCCCTGGTCGGGGTCGTGCGGGAAGCAGCCAGTTGATGTGTCTCTTTCACATCAATGTTTCCCTCTCTCCACCCCAACTCTATCTAACGATAAATGGAAAAAATATCCTCAGGTGAGGATTAAAAAAATAAATAAATAATAGATGCCCCAGTGGTGTGGCTCAGTGGCTGAGCCTTGACCAAGAGGTCATGAGTTTGATTCTTAGTCAGGGCACATGCCCAGGTTGTGGGTTCAATCTTTAGTAGGGGGCATGCAGGAGGCAGCCAATCAATGTTTCTCTCTCATTGATGTTTCTATCTCTCTCCCCCTCTCTCCTCCTCTCTCTCTAAAAATCAGTAACAACATATTTTTAAAAAATAGGTAAACATGCCCTGGCCGGTGTGGTTAGAGTGTTGATCCTGTGCACCAAAGGGTTGTGGGTTTTATTCCTAGTCAAGGGCATGTACCTGGGTTGCAGGTTTGATCCTTGGCCCTGGTTGGGGTGCATGTGGGAGGCAACTAATTGATGAGTCTCTCACATCGCTGTTTCTCTCTTCCTCCCTCTCACTCTCTCTAAAAAAATCAATGGAAAAAATATCCTCAGGTGAGGATTGGGGGGGAAAGGCAAACATTTAATTACAGAGTGGTGAAATTTCCTCTTGTAGGTGTGTACATGGATGGTCACATAATAGTTTACAAAAAAAAAATCATCACACTTTGTGTTAATTTCACCTTTGGAAAAGAAATTTCTTTTTTTATCCTCACCCGAGGACATTTTTTTCATATTTTTATTCAGATAGAGTGGGAGGGAGAGAGAGAGAGAGAAACATCAACGTGAAAGGGACACATCCAGTGGTTGCCACCCACACCACCCAACCAAGGCCAGGGACAAACTGCAACCGAGGTACGTGCCCTTAGCGGGAACTGA